TGCTGTGTGAGGTCTTATTTTTCAAAGATATTAAATATCATAGGACTTAGAAATTTCTTATTTTAGTAAGGCAGCAAATATTTATACCATCAACATTAGAGTAGACCATAGATGTACCAGCAGATTGATATTATTCACATAATATTAATATATATACATATATATGTATGTTTTCTAAGTCCAGTAAAACTCCACTGTTCACGCTAATCATGAAAAAAAAAAGTGGAACTAGAAAAGGTTAACAAAATGCAGTTTCCAGTTATTTGTGTCCCAGTTTAAGTTAGTGCTCCCAATTTGAGTTATGGCTGAGATGTGCACTTAAAAATATTTTTGCGAGTGTGGCATTGTGGCCCGAGAAAATAGGATAAAACAAGATTAAGAAAATAAATCATTTTAAATTGGACCTCCTTCCTTAAATAAGGTGATTGAAGAAAAAAATATCAATATTGCAGTGTACCAGTTAAAGAAATTGATTTGAGTATGTGTGAAATTCAGTTTTTGATATCAATTTGGTGGACTTGGATGTCTATAATTTATCTTTTTTTTTCCTTAATGGGTACATAGAATCTAAACTATTGTATGGAAAACAGAGTAGTATTTAGGTAAATGGTGAATAGCGGGGCAGACCAGTATATGGCTGAGTGTATCATTCTCAACATCACAATTCTTCCCCCTCCCACCTCCCCACCATCACTTCCAAAATACAGCTGCATTATTTTTTGTTGGATATTGGAGAACTGTTCAGAACTTATTACATAGAGCATTTTATCAGTCTTTTAAATTGGTCAGTCAAAAATATTTTTGTGAATTTGGGAGGATTCTTCCCCTTCTTACCCTCACTTTGTTTACCTTTAGTAACATAATTCACTTCCCAGTCCTACTGATTACTTTCCCTTCCACACTCCCAGACTGAAATAGGTCAAGGAGGAGGAACACACACTCTACAAATTGGGAAAAGGGATTGAACAAATTCCTAAACAGCAATTTTCAGGTCTGGCCCCATTAACTGCTTAGGAGAGTCCTTCGATATGCCAACATTCATAGAAAACTGAGGTTTCTAAAGAAATCTTACAGCACATACTTTATTCTTTAAGAAGAAATAATAGATCTTTTACAATTATATACTGAAATTAGAATGAGGAATTGCAAACACTCTTATTAGTATTATTTTAGTGAAGATAAATATCACCTCTCAAATTATATCCTAGTATATGGTAAAGACCATGTATTTTAATGATGTTCATCACAAAGGGTTTTTTATTGTTGCTGCTGTATTTCTAATGGCATAATACTGGCTTATATAATATATATTGGAATTTCACTATGAACTTTTAAAAATTGGGACTGGTTATCCCTGTAGATATCAGCCCACCAGCGCAAGGAGTGGACCACAGACAAGTACAGAAAGAACTAGGAGACGTCATTGTTCGCCTTCACACTCCGGTCGTACTGACTCCCACCACTGTTCAAGTCACGTGGACGGTAAGTTTTTAAAAACAATCTTAATGCTAGTCTCTTTTATTCATTCAAGAAAACAAACTAAAAAGGAAAAGGCAAATAAACTAACTGAAAAAAAAATAGTAGTAAAATCCTCACCATTTAAAATCAAGGTGTCATGAATGGCAAAAAAGGAAAAAAAATTAAAAGATAAAAGATTATGTACATAGAGTAAAAGTAGATTGCAGTATAAACATAATATGTTCTGTCTTACGAGCTTTTAAACTACCCTGTTAATATATAATTAACAAACCAGAGTTAAAGTGTACAACTCATTATTTTTTGGTATCTTTGCAGAGTTGTGCAATCACCAGAATCTGATTTTAGAACATCACCCCAAGATGAAACCTTTTCCCCATTAGCAGTCACTCCACCGTTCCTCCACCGTTCCTCCTACATTAGCCCTTTGCAACCACTAATCTGCTGTCTGTATAAATTTACCTATTTCTTTCATATGAATGAAATCATGTACTATGTGACCTTTCGTGTCTGGCTTCTTTCACTCAGCTTGATGTTTTTGAGGTCCATCCATGTTGCAGCATTTATCAGTACTTTGTTCCACAGTATAGATATATCACATACATCTGTTTATCCATTTATCAGCTGATTCATCTGTGAGTTCTTTCCACTTTGGGCTATGATGAATGATGGTGCGATGAACACTTGTGTACAAGTCGACATATATTTTCATATCTCTTGGCATATACTTAGGAATTGTTGAATTAAGCTCTCTGTTTAGCATTTGGATAAACTGCCAAAATGTTTTCCAAAGTGTTTTCACAATTTTATGCTTCCACCAGCAATATTTGAAGATTTCACTTTCTTCCAGTCCTTGCCAGTTTCTCCCACATCCTCACCAACACTTACCAGCCTCTTTTTGATTATTGCCATTCTAGTGGGTATGAAGTGGTATACCACTGTGGTTTTGATTTGCATTTTTAATGACTAATGAATTTTGACTCTTTCTGTGCTTCTTGAACATTTGGATATTTTCTTTAGAGAAATGTCTGTTTAAAATCTTCTCATTTTTAAATTGAGTTGTTTGTCTTCTTAGTATAGTCTTTTGTAAGAGTTCTTTATATATCAGATACAAATTCTTTATCAGATACACAATTTGTAAATATTTTCTCCCAGTCTGTGGGATGTTTTGTGCTTTCTTAAGGATGTCATCTGAAGCACAAAAATATTCTAATTTTGATGATGTTTTCGTCTGAATTTAAATTAATCATCTTTACATTCTTTTAGCTGAACCTCCTCCAGCAGTACCAAGCAAAAAATATATAATTTTAAAAATTTTGCATATGTAGTAAAAAAATTAATATGTTTTAAGAAATAAATTGATATTTTAATATATGCTAAGAATGTTCAATTCCATGCACTATTAAATATCAACCTGCCAATGTTATTTCAGAATGCAAAATGTTTTCACCTCATGATAGCCACTGCAGTGAAAACAATAAATAGCATAAAAATAGCCATATTTCTCCTATTAGAGACTATTAACCCTTGTACATGGGTTTATGTCTATGTGTGTGTCTGTGTTTTGTGAAAGCCCTGATAATGGTCTTTCTTGTGCATAATAACAGGTAGTGTCAACTTCTCATTCGTGCCTGAGACTTCTCTATTATAGCCTCTAAAAATCCTAAGGAAATATATCGGGATAATAAAAGCTCTCTGTATATGTGGTAGATCATGTATACTGTACAGGTAATGGTCACTTGAGTTAGTGATATCTAGAAGAATTTCACTTTAATTACATTGGCAAGAAAGTGTGTATAATTATGTCTCTCTTATTGTTACTGTTCTTGTGGTAGGAGAAGAATGACTGTAAGTCAGAAACAAAGGATTTTTCCCCCACTTAGTGTCCAAATTTTTTAAGGAAATAACTATTTCACCCATTTCCATCAATTCCTTTAACCCGGAAGTTGAGAAAAGAAAACTGATTATTTTTTATTAGTTCTTAACTATATTTGAAATACAAAACACAGTGAAGAAAATTATTTCAGTGTCCTTTTAATAATAAATCCATTGAAAAAATTCAGTTCAACAAGCATTTTTTGAGGACCAATTTTTTACTAGATGTGGAGGGATGCTATATAAAGAGACAGAAATCTACTTGAGAAAAATGTGGAAATTTTTAATGATGGTACACAGAAAGTAAGAGCCATAACTGATATATACACATCTTACAAACAAAGATCAGTCAAAGAGGAAGTGAGTAATTCTATCCCCAGGTATCAGAAACCAAATTACCACTTATCTACATCTATATGCGGAAATATGGAGGCATGACTGTATTAGAACAGAAGAAACTAAATTAACATTTAAGGCTGTTTAGTTCAAATCTATAATTACATAAAAGGAACAATGCAGACAGGTTGAGCAATGTTTCCACATCTAATTATAGGTAAAGATAGGATTAGAATTTCCTTAATCTAAATCTGTTTTTTGTGTTTTTCACTTTAAACATAAACTGCAGACAAACATTAGTTCAAAGAAATGCCTTTTAATAGTTGAATTTCAACATATGATCCTGGAGTTAGCCTGTGAGTACAAAACTGGATAATGCTTTAACAAAAATAAAACTAAGTTTATAGTGTTTTAAGGGTAATTATGATTACCTAAGATGACATGGTTTCTAATTTTATTTTGGATATAATTTCACATAGACGGATTCTGTTTTCTGCATAGAATGGTTTCTATTCTTCTGCTCCCATGAAGGGAACATAATGACCTCATCATGTTTCCAATGGCACAGAAAGCGTATTATCTGCCATGCCTCTTCCGTCTTTCTGTAGCTTTGGTTAGATACAAAACTAACAAAGCCAAGGAAGTGGTTGTATTTTTTAATAACAGATTTTCCTCCATTCTCAATTGAAAAGTCTTCTCTGCTTTGTTACGAGTTTTGAAGAGGCTTCTTTTTTAAGCTGCTTCTAAATGTGGGAATTGTTTGAGTAAGAATCTGTCATTATGTTTATGAAGTTAATCACTCTTAAAGTCACAGAGTTTAAAAGAATAAATAAAATCAGATCAAAATTGCAGGTCAGTAATGTGGGAGTTCTTCCAAGAGAAGGACCTTGTCATATTCATCTCTATATCCCAAGAAACTTGTCATTACTTATTTGCATAGCTCTCTCCCTCATGAACTTGACTTTGGTGAGTCTGAAGTTCATGCTTTCGTTTCTGTTTTTTCAGAGCAGAGCATTTATTATGAACTACTTTTTCAATGACTGTCTGTTGAGTGATCAAATCAGTTGTTTCCATACATTTTAATTTTTTTTTACTTTTAAAAAAGAAAGTGTTCAATTGTATCACAAATTTCCC